TCTGCCGTTTTGCCGCTCTGTGCTCTCCAGCGCGAACCCAAGGCCCTCCAGCGCGAACCCTCCTGCGGTCCTGCACTCCTGTCATCCTGCGCCTCCAGCTCTTGCTCTCCTTCAGGTAACTTTTACGGAGTATTAATTATTAGTTTTATAGATTTTTAATGTATTATTATTATATTTATTGTTTTTTTGTTGAAAGGATACTATTTATTGTTATCATCATCATCATTATTGTTATCATTATTATTTTATTATTATTATTATTGTTGTTGTTCTATTTCATTTTTTTCATTATCAACATCCTTACCATTATCATTTTTATTAGATGTTCTTTTATAAAATTATTCTCTAGTAAATTTTATTGACAAGAAATATGACTAGAGTGATTATAAGTATATTTCTATAGTCACTAGCTACGGTGTAAAGTTTGAATGTAACTATAATCGTTAAGAATTATTAAGGATCATTTTTATCCATTACTTTTATTTTGGTAAGGTATTGGTTATTGTTTCTTTTTATTAATATTTTATTATTGAATTACTCCCGATTTGTTGAATTTAGGTCTTGAAAAAACTGTTTTGTTGAAAATGAGAAAAACATGAAGTTTTTAATAACGTGATGTTTATTTAATAACATTATTTAATATTAAATTTAAATACATTGAAAATAGTTCTAGAAAAATTAAAATAAAGGATAAAAAATCAAAACGCTTTTTCACGCCTTTGTCCTAGACTTCAAAGGCTTAAGGCTTGATCGTGCCGCCTCAGCACGTCTTACGCTTTTTAGAAGATTGGTTACCAAACGACTTCTCATGTCACTTATTTTATCTTTTCGACAAATTTAACCATTTTAACTCATAAATATATTACTCTTTCAAATTGAAATGGTTAAATATTTTAACCAAGATTGGAGTACTACGTATAAACCATTAGAATGGGTTCTATGCCTTTGGAATTTGGTCTCTAGCTACCAAATAGACAACAACTAGTTATTCTGATACGCCTATAAGCCAGTAGGGTTGCTCCTAGACAAGCATTGGTTATTGGTAACCCCATCAAATTTCTTTCAAATTACTTGCTTCGTCCATTTTGATGGAATAAAATTCACTTTGTCCGGTATACAATTTGGTGAAATAATTAAGAGCCCGTTTGGTAATATCGAAATCAATTGATCGTTTGATTTTGCTAAATTATATGAAGTTCTGATTGAATTGGTTGATTGATTCATTATGCTAATTTATGAAACAAATATTTAAAATATATTTTATTAATAAATAAAGAAAAAAATATATGAGAAAAGTAAAGCAAATCTTACATTTTCTTATTACTCCCTCCGGGCTCACTCCCTTAAAACTTCGACACTTTCCCTTTTAATCAATTATTTTGTGATTTTTGTCGTTTCTTTCTCCTCTGCACAAATCTAAACTACACAATTTTTACTTTACTATTTTCCGTGCCGGTCAACTTTGGCAAAGTTTTAAAGGACGGAGGTAGTATTACATAATTAAGTGTGTGAAATCAAAGGTTACATGTTTGGTTAAAAAAATTATTTGATAAGTTTGATAATCTTAAAAATAGGGTCACCAAAAGAGTCCTTTAAGCTTCATTTAAATTATTATTCTATCAATTAATTGATTCTCTAGCTAGGGGTGGATGAATAACCTTTTTAAAAATTAATTTACTTGAATATTAAAGTTAGACCTTCTGAGTTGACTTTCATGTTGGTCGAGTTTCAATTCCACAAACGACAGTTTTGACTCCAATTTCTCTTGGAAAAATGTGTTTTATGCTTTTTTATGTAAATAGTCCTACTCTAACCACAAAAAATTGAAATTCTAAAAACCCTAACAAATTGCGTGCATCTTAAAATTCTATGCATGGCAAAATTTCAAATAATAAAGTCTCGTTTGATAACATTAAATTGGCTCAATTATTGAATTTGTTGAATTTGTTGAAATTGATGGTTGAAGTGGCTGAATTGGTTGAATCTATTGAATTATGGAAAAATATTTAAAATATATGGAGTATTTTATTAATAAAATAAAGAAAAAATCACATGAAAATAGCTAAACTGGTCCTCTACAGTAACTTCAGTCAATTGAGCCAGAAAAGTATCTCCAACCATGCTTATTTTAATTAAAATATTTCCATGTTTGGTCCTATGAGTTTTATGTCATTTTCACATTTAGTACACATCTTTCACTTTGTCAACTTTTAATACTTGATTAATGTTTCTTGACATTTTGTTGTCTTTCTCGGCGATTTTAACCACTAGAATTATTGTCGGATAGACCATATATGAGCGAAAACACAATAGTCATGTACCATAAGTGATCAAAGTCAAAGACGTTGACCAATTGTGGAATTGGTGCGATACTCGTAAGAACAAAAGTGGAATTTACTCTTTTAATTATTATACTAATACAATTTAGCGCACCAAATCAAAAGTTGCGTACTTGGCAAGAACATTGTTGAGATACTCCTTTTTTTTCATTCCACACTTTGTCATGTTTAACTAACACGCGAAATAATAAAGTAAAATTTGTGTGATTGAGATATTTGCGGACAAGAAAAAAACAACATAAACAATAAATTCATTGATTAAAAGGAGGAGAAGTTATAAGCCATAAAGCAAGGTCGGTGTTGCTGTTTGAGTAATTATTTATGAAGGGAAATTTAGCCCAATATTACTAAAAGAGAGATGATTTCCCGTTATATGAATTAAAAAACTTAATTGATCAAAATATGACAAAAAATCACTAACCGTGAGTATCATAACTGAAAAACAAGCAAGAGAAAGTTTCCACTTAATGCATATGGAACGAGACTAGCATATCATTCTCCCACTAAATAAGGAAAACAAATGACTAGGTCATAGATTGAGAAATAGATACTCTTAGAGCATCTCCAATGGGAATATGAATTAGTTAAAAATGCATTGCCACATCATATAAATACACATTGATGTTAAAATATTTACTCCAATGGAACTGTGCATGAGGACCGCGTTGCTGAGTTGGAATGGAAAAAAATGCACGATGTCTACCTCCCTTTCTACTTTCAGCAGGTCTATTCCACGGTCTGACTCAGCAACATTTAATTCTCCACAAAGGTTTGCGCATCAATTAATATATATTTCCGCCTATCCCAATATGTCCGAGAAGCTGACTCGCCGTGATAAAGACGAAATCCGAAAGAGCTCCCTCCAGGAGCAGCGACACGATCATAATTGATTCTTCCGAATTCATTATCTGTGCGGCTATGCCTCTACCACAAGATGAAATTGATAGAGGCGGTGGTGATAATTTATGCTGTTAATTTAATTATTTGATCAATTCCATATATCGATTTTAGTCTTCTAGGTGGATGTAACATCATATATATGTTCTTTGTTTTATGTGTGTGGGTGTGAGAAAAATATTATCCTATGAAAAGTTGTGCGTGAGTTGAGAGTTAACTTGCGGGTATTTTTAGGTGTAGAGGATAAAATTAATCATGGATCTTTTTCAGATTATTTTTTTGGAGAAGAAAACTAGCAGAAGAGTTTTGCAGAATATTAAATAATAATCGGCAGTTTTTAGTCGTAAATCAAGGATGAGGGGATGTCAGTAGATGAATAGTAAACTAATGCCATTGGAGAGGAAATATTATTTTAACCATATCTATGTCCACATAAGCATAATAGGCCGTCTACACACGTGACGTGTCCACTTTTTGTAGGATGCAATCCACATTTCCATTAAAGATGCTCTTATTAACTGGTGAGCCATGTCTGACGTGAATAATGGACGGGTTGCATTGAATTTTTTTAATTCGATCAATTTTATACAGGGTATTAAGATTTAAGAATGTATAATATTTTACCACTCTCCCCCACTTAAAGTGTTTTAGATGGTACAATGTAAATGATTTAATATAATATCTTACGGTTTACATTAAATTATCGTACCAAACGGTGTAAATCGTTTGCATCCCTACACTTTATACATAAAATGATTGCTTTACACTTTAACAAACGTCCCCTAAGTGTTTGCAAAAAAAGCCTAAAATAGTTAATAATTGATCATTCATCCTTGTTTAGTGTTAAAGCCCTAAACACAGGGTGCATTTATATCGAAATCAAAATCTTGCGCCTCTCCTCAGTTTCTTCTCACAATTGGAACGGATCTCTCGTGAGTTCAGCAATACACGAAGCATTAGAGCATCTTCAATGCTAAAACGTTAACGGTGCATACGTGGCATGAGAAATAATCAATTAAAAAACAAACGGTAGAATATCTCTCTCCTTATCTGAAGGATCTTACATTATTTTGGTAAGATTTTATTCACAATGTCAAGCACAATGTCAAGATGTAGACATTGCGGTTGACATTGCACACAAAAACTTACCAAAAATGCATAAGACCGTGGAAAGAAGGAGAGAGAAATATAATAAAATTAATATTTTGTATCTATACCTCTAATGCCACATGTGCACCGTGCACATTGTAGCATTGGAGATGCTCTTAGTAATTTGGTTTTGTACATCAAGTGTTTCATTGTAAGTTCCCACCTTGTATTTTGTTTGGGAAAAGGGTGATTCTTTTTGGCCGTCGTCATGCCATTTGTGCCAGTTCGCGGTGGAATTTTTCGATAAATATTTTTGAGATCTTCTTAATTAAGTCTAGTTTACTCATATCAAATTTCAGCTAAAAGTCAATCGCGAAGGCAGACAAAAATTTTTTTGAAAATAACTGCGCAGTTAAACAACGCATTACATTTCAGAAAATCATTTGACTGTCTTTCCGATTGAATTTTTAATCTGAAATTTGGTATGAATAAATCAGATTTAATGAAAAAGATGTTCAAAAAATTTAATCAAATAATTCCACTTGGAACCGTCCCATACCAAATAGCGACGTGCAGATAGAACCTCTTGTATAAGGAGCTTATGTAAAAGGAATTTGCACTTTTTAATTAATTCTAGGGCTATTTCACTCTTTTCCCTATTTTGTTTCTGTGCAGATAATGCGAGTCGATCCTGGAATACGCATTGAGCGTGTGCCGAAGGAGAAGGAGATTGCAAACATCAAGATACCATGTTCTTTCTCCGACGATGGTTCTCTCTCCGATGATGAAGTCGATCCGCCTTCTCCTAAGAAGCCAAAGATTGAAGAGGAAGAAGGAGATGACGTAGGAAGTAAGAGCGATTCCGGAAACAGCAGTCCTAAATGGGACATCGCCAGAGAAGCGGCATACGATAAGTACATGGCGTATGTCGAAGAGCATCAAGTAAATAAATCTATCTATGTTATTTAAAGAAGTACTGAAATTGGATAAAGCGAATTGTATTTGCTCATCTTATAGAGCCTGTCTATCTAATCATTCATTCAGGGGTTTGATGTGAATCTGGACCTTCTTCCTCCATTTGGTTTTCCCGGGTACCTTGGCATTTATCCTGTGGACTTTGGAGATCGCGGATCTACATTATCGGTTAAAGAGGCCACATTCCTCGCCATTAAGAGATACAATCAACGTGCTCAGGTTTGTTTATTTGACGTTAGTTGCCTTTGTTACCCTACATATTCACAATCTATTTGACCGATGTTTTTTCATATTAACTATAATGCAGGGTTGACAGTTGGAATTAGATAAAATAATAAAGGTTAATGGAAGCGCAACCATATACTATATACTACGTAACTTTTTTGGCTAAAGAAGTTAACACTGGGAAATACAGAAACTATCAAACAAAGGTGTTCCATATGCTCTGGGCTGGTGGACGCAAAGTTCGTACTAGAGTTTTCTTTGTGAGGCCAGAACCAGAACCAGGTACCCGAAAAGAAGGGAATGCAATAAACGTAATACGAAGTATGCTATATATGTATATGTATGTATACGTGTGTGTGTGTGTGTCTCCCTTATATAATAAGAGCCATCTCCGGTTAGCATAGTTCTTTTTCCGCTAACTCAAGTCATATATTTGTGTTGCAAGCATAATTATCATGGCGCACGGCGAACGTCATGGTGCAGGGGCCGTTTACCATGGCGATGGTGATGGCGCAATTGTGGCGATAGGGCAATTCACTAAAACTAAGAAGTATATATATGACCTATAGAAATTGTAGTAGTATGACTTAACCACCAATAAAAGAGATATAACCAAACTAATACTTCGTACCATAATACATACTTCAATATACATAATCCTCCTACATAACATACAGTATAGTAGTATACATACATATTATACACATAATATAACATACATAATATATCGCTTGTAATGCATTAACATGTAGGCCGAGTGATAAGGAACCCACATATTCCAGCCAACACATCAACAACCATGATGAAATAAAGATAAGGATGATATGTATAGCAGAATAATATAGTATTAACTCGAGAAAAAATACTATAAGTCTTAACCGGTTAAGAGAAGTCCAAGAAGAAAGGAGAAAATAATAACTGTTCATACTCTAGAAAGACCATAACCTGACGTGCGAAGTCCGTAGGCAGTCGCAGAGAGAAGGGGAGAATGACTTCTTGATAAAGAAGATGAAATTGAGTTGGACTTGAGAAGTGCACGACGGCTTATGGACACTTCGATAGCCGCAGGTGTGATTTTTTATAGCTCTGGCGCAGCTAGGCGCAACTGATGCGCGCTTCTTTAAACTTTTAAGCGTACAAATAAGGCTCTAAGTAATATGGGCCTTAAAAAATCCAAAAAAGCGCATAAATATAGCGCATATGGCGCATGCGATGGCGAAGCCGCATACATGGCGATGCCACAGATAAACGCATCGCCAGACCCCGGTATTGTGGCGAAGCCCTCTACGAATGGCGATCGTCATTTGTGTCATCGACTACTCTGGTCGCAAGATTTCCAATCTCGTCAACTTGAATAGTTTGATAGTTGATACTTTGGTTTTTTTTCTATTAAGTGCAGCAACTGTATATTGGGTGATGTTTTTTAATTGTTGCTAGGGTACATTTGGGTAATTACTTAACTGTAACTATTTTGTCACTGGATTGGCCAACCTGATTCTCTTATATTTTTCTGGAACTATTTGCTTCAATTCTGAATCATTTTCATTTACCCCAGTGCCGCAAAGGCTCCCAACTACGGTGGGGTAGGGGGGTCGGATGTATTCCGGATGACCCATAGTGAAAATCGCGTTCAAATTTGCATGGACTGACCGTTGCTCCATAACAAAGAAGCGCAGACAGATTAGTGAGCCATTTTGCTTTATTCCGAATCAAATGTGCAATAAATATTGCGAGACACGTGATTCTTCTTCACTTTTATACATGATGTATTTGTGTTGTAAGATTTCCAATCTCGGCAACATGTTTTCGTGAATAGCTTGATAGTTTATACTAACAACTTCTGTGTTTTGTCTATTAAGTGCAGCAACTGTGTATTGGGTGATGTTTTTCAATAGTTGCTAGGCTACATTTGGGTAATTACTTAACTGTAACTAATTTGTCACTCTTTGTGGAAAGGAATGAAAGGGGAGGAGGTGGAGGTGGAGGTGGAGGTGGACGAGGATGTAGATGGTGATGGAGATGTATTTGTGAAAAATAATTAATACGGAAGTAACATGTGCAGACACCAACAACACACAAGCTAGTGTGCTATTTATTGGCGGTTAATCAAACTGTGTTTGTTAGATGTTTGGTAGTGTTAGAACTATTTATCATCTCACAATTAAATTGCTCTATTTATGATCTAATTGGGCAAAACAGAGTTGTTTGTATTTTCTAGTTAATAGAAGAATATGCTTCTTCAAGATTCATGAATTACCCAGATACTTAACATTATGATCTTAGATTCATGCTTCTTTTGTCTGATTGAGGTACCTTACGTTCTTACGATAGATCCTTGTAATGTAGTGTTTTGATCTTCAGGTTACTCCTTTTGATCCAGTTCTTTTATCAAGAAAGTATTTTCTTGTATTATTATTGAAACTAAAAAGGGTCAACGTCTGCATACAAAACTTGGGTTGCTTCTTTATGCACCCATAAAACCCTATAAAGTACAAACTACTGCAAGAGTGTTAGTGTAGCTTTCATTTTCAACTAATTTCTCACTACTCCATTGGCTACTCAACATTTTTTCTGAAGTTCACAATAATAGCTCAATTGGGTACCCGAACTAAAAAAAGGTCCAATCCAATCCTCCAACTCTTCAAAATCGTTCAATTTGTTCGTTTAGCCGGTAAACTCCCGGTACTCAATTGAGCTATTGATATGAGTACATGGACCTATTTGACCCTTTAGCCTTTGAAAAAATGAAAAAATTGAACGATTTTGAAGAGTTGGAGGATTGGATTGGACCTTTTTTTAGTTCGGGTACCCAATTTAGCTATTGATATGAGTGCATGGACCTATTTGATCCTTTGGCCTGGAGCAAACATGCAAGACTTAGAGTCACCCACCTAGGCATGGATTCAGGCCGGGTCGGGCCCGGGCCGAGCCCACCGGTTTGTAAGTGATTGGCTCGGGATTGGCCTGAGGTCTGCACGGTTCCGGTTCGGGTCGGGCCACCCGCCCGGGTCACGGGTCGGGCCACCCGCCGGGTCGATTATACTTTATAGTTTTATACAAGTATTAAAAACAAACTTCAAGTGCATTTATTTGAAATGAAATAGGAACTACATTTGACAATTAAGAAAAAAATACAATATGAAATACATTTTGTAAATTGTAAATTTGTAATCAATCGGAACTTCCTGCACCTTCCGGTCCTTTGGCTTTGTCACATGACTTAATATGCTTCATTGTCATCCCGTATCCGCATGAAATCTCCATGCTACACTTTTCCCCGCACCATTTGCAAGTTGCGTACCATATCCCGGTCCTCGGGTCCTTTTGCTTATCAAAATTATACCGTATAACAACATATTGACTTTCCACATCCCGAAGATGAATATGAAGTAGATAATTAGAGACGAGAGTGTAGGATTTAGGATTAGGATATGAAAAAATGTTTAAGATTAGGAGTATTTATAGTTTTTTTTACCCCACACCTACCCCCCAAACCGCCCGGACCCCCCTGCCAGGCCACCCAACGGCTATATAGTCGTTTGGGTAGTCCCCAGCCCACTCCCAACGGCTCTTTGTGGCTCAAAAGATTTTTTTTTTAAATTTGACTGTTAGACCCGGACCCGGGCCGGGTCGTCTTTTGCCAGAACCGAGCCCGCCCCGCCCATCCCCCTGGTTCGGGTCTACACCCGGTCCCGGACCACCAGATCGGGCCGGTCCCGGGCCCGCACAGTAGCGGGCCGGGCAGGGTCACGGACCGGGTGGCCCGAACCGAATCCACCCCTACACCCACCCATACAAAACAACTTGACTTACTAGACACAAAACGGGCAAGAGAAGCCTAAAACGATCGGGAATGAAGTACTGTCTTCCAAACGTTCTTCACAAACCAAAATACTCCAACCATATCTGATCAAACTAAAATAAGTATTACGAAACGAAAAACAATACAAAAATAAAAACTTTCTCCAAATTGCTTCCTCGCACGGAGGTGGTTTCGTAGGAAGGCGAGCTGCTGTAGGCCTGTAGTATGGTAGAAGAAAATTTCAACCCTCAAAAATTTCGTTTGAACCCCTATCCTTCTTGCGCTTGCCAATTTGTTTTTGTCAATTTAGTCTTTCCAATTTGCTCCTTCAGATTTGCCATTGAAATCCATGTTCAAGGTGCAGAAGAAAACTCTATCATGTTGTCTTGTGTTTCTTCGCCCCAAAAATCCAAGCCGCACCCCACAGCCCTTTCGTTCCACTCACGTTCCGAAACTCCAATCACGAAACTCTCGTTCCACGAAAAAACCCAGCCACACGAACAAAGTTCGATCGGCGGAACAAAAAAAAACCTAACTATTGTAGGGAGATGACCGCTCCTCGAAAAAGAGCGATCAATTTTACGTAAAACCCTATTTTTTGTTTCACAAATTAAGATGATACCGGTTCTCCTCGAATACCAGGCACTACCAAAATCATACCGGTCTTGATAACCACCTTCGGCAACCCCATCTTCCTAGCCCAAACGATTACTGCAAAGAACCCTAAGGCCTCTGTTCTTTTAGTGTCCAACCTGTTGTGATTTCACCTGTAGCAACACAGCCCCCCAGCACCCACATCTCTACTTTCATACACCTTTTGCATCGACATTGATATTAATCAAACATGAATCCAGCTTCTGCCACTTTGTCAACTCCTTCATCCATATTTCCTCTCCTTCACTAGTGTAGAAAACACTTTCTATATGTGTTAAAAAACACTTTTTATGTTGGTTCCCGTAACGACATAGTAGCAAGCGACATAGAAAGACGAGCACTTTTCGTGTCGGGTAGTCGTACCCGTTATAGATTGTGTTTTATAACGGTTACAAATTTAACCGTTATCGAATGTTTTCCGTGTCAGACCAGTAATACCCCATATAAAATCCTTTTTATATGGATTAAACCATTATCAAATTTAACCGTTATCGAATTTTTTCCGTGTCAGTCCAATAATACCCCATATAATATATGGGTTAAACCATATACATACCTCATATATCCAATAGATCCAATATTATCCTGTAACACCGTCCCCAAATGTATTTATCTCTAAGCGAATAATTTATTGAACCCTATGAAATTTTTAGTCAATTTACGAGGTTGTGAATTTGTATTAATTTTTTCGCGTGAATAGTAAAATGCACGTGGGGCCCACATCGGGAGTGGGGACCGCCCGATATTATCGGGACCACATATTATATTCATCTGGGTCTAGAAAATATTTATAGATGATGGATACTTCATTTGGGCCATGGAAAGGCCCAAAGTTGACCGATTGGTCAATAGAGGCCCAAATATCGGTATCGTTAAATTTATCAGATAAAAGTCCGAAATTGGATTTTGGAGACTTATAAATTAAAGTTGGGGAATGCATATTCATTCTAAATGTTATAATGATTAAGAACACGTAATATATTTATTTAACCCGATAAAATAAAATATATCTAAAACAGTCCGGAAAATACAACTTTCGGGGCAAATTGTACATTTTGGGACAAACTAGGATGACCTCCCACATGGGTGGGGGCCACCCCACGAATTTGTCAACCCTTGGGGGCTGGATGAGTGCTAAGTTGGCTGAATAACAATTGATAGGATGGGGGAGACACCCTTTGACATTTAGTGGACCCCCTCCCTTCACTCATTTGTCTAAATGAGACAAAAACCACCCCTCTCACCTCACCACCTCCACCCACTCGTAGCAGCACCCTAGGATAGCAAGGAGGAGCTCTGAAACTCTTCATTTTCACACCCAAATTCGAGCTCAAGATAGAGGATCCAAAGAGGAGTGCTTGGAGAAGGAAAAAAGTGTAGGAAAGTGTGGAAATTGAGGTAATCACCTTGCCATAACTTTCCCTTTATTCTTCTTCTACCATGAGGCATATTTATTATATGAAGAACCCTTGGGATGGTTCTCCATGTTCTAAGTATGGATTTATGGGTTGGAAAGTGGTTCTATGTCCAAGAACGGACTTAGAAGCCAAATCGATCGGTTTGCCGGAAAATAACCTTTTATAGGTTATTTGTGTTGATATGGGTTTTGTGATGATAAAACCTTGTTAGGAACTTGATTTAAAGTATTTTTGAGCTTCGCCGGAGTTTCGTCGGAGTTGGTCAAAGTTCGCCGGAGTTGGTCAAAGTTCGCCGGAGTTGGTCAAAGTTCGCCGAAATTAGTCAAAGTTCAATCGAGAAGCGTAGAACGCGCTTAAGCTTAATTAAGGTGAGGATGACCGACTATGTTGCTTATAATCTTTGGGTTGATTTCATGAGATTTCCTAAGTGAATACAAATGTGAGGTGCATGGGTTGTTAATGGTTAATAATGCCTAAATAAAACTACTATTGATTATAAGTATAGTATGCATGATATACAAATTTATGAATAAATTGTGTATGTTTAGATGTTATGAATATGAGTGTATGATGGTTGTATCAACCATGAATTTCATTTGAGATAGTATACTTTGATACCATGAGGAGAAGCCATGAAAGTATAAAGGTGATATTTGATATTAAGGCCAATCATGCATGAAAGAAGAATTATATTGAAATAAATAAATAACTAGCATTGAAATAGTAGTTGGAAATGTTAGCTGAGAAATGGATGAATGAGATCCTAAGAATTTGAATTATAAAGAATCGGTGATTATGAGCCGGGCTCGATACCGATGTAGATAACGGTGATTATGAGCTGGGCTCTAGATCGTGGTAGATAACGGTGATTATGAGCTGGGCTCTAGACCGTGGTAGATGACGGTGATTATGAGCTGGGCTCTAGACCGTGGTAGATGACGGTGATTATGAGCGGGGCTCTAGACCGTAGTAGATAACGGTGATTATGAGCTGAGCTCTAGACCGTAGTAAATAATGATGAATTGATACTAAATGAACGGATTAACTATAATGTAATAATGCTCTAGATTGAGGGCCTCAGAGATTTAAACTTCGATTATACTTAGTGTAGTTGTCATTGTACTTGTCAAATGCTTCCAAGTACTGACCTCCCCTTCACGGGGGAGGCCACCTCACAGTTTCAGGTAGAACTTGAAGGTTGCTACTACCAGCCGCTGTTTCGGGAAGTTTCTGAGAAGAAGACTTGGTTCGTGCTTCTTCCGTTCTTGTTTTGAAAACAATATGAATAATGCTCATGGATATTATTTTCTGAATATACATTTCGGGGGTTGTATACCCATGTTTGCCAAGTGTGGCTTGAACATTTGTAATGTTGTTTCCGCTGTTTTAAATGAATGATTTACATTATGTTTGTTATGGATGTACTATGTGTGAAT